TCTCTCTCTCCCCCTTCCCCTCTTCCCCCCTTCCACACTCTCTAAAAAATCAATAGAAAAAATATCCTTGAGTGAGGATTAACAAAACAAAAAAGAAGAAGAAAGAATAATGCTTTACATTATTATAAATACTTAACAGGATTATTCAGAAAGTTTACAGTTCATTTCATTGTTTTGGAAATTGGGCACCAAGTCCAAATAAACCTATTTTGACTGAAGTGAAGAAACATGGTATGGTATTTCTGAAAAACGTAAGGTTTCTTTCCAATAATTAGTTACTTTGGGATAATCTTTTCTTAAAGATGTTCAAATTTTCAGTGAAAAGTTAGGTATTACTGAAGTATATAAAATCCAACTGTTCAATTTTTCAAATCTGGTATTAAATCCCAAATTATACCATAGGTATTTAAGTTACCTGTTTGATACTACTGAGCTGTGTTTCAGTAACATATCAAACAAAACCCAGAACTTTTGGTTTTGATATTGAGTCATATTGCATTCATATTTCATTAATTCCTAATACGGTATTCTGTTAGTTTTTTGAATTGGTTATTCAAATAAGTCATATTCTGATAAAGTCTCACTGAATTTATATAAAGTTTTAGTGTTTTCTGTGAATGTAGATACAGATGTGTTTATGTCAAAGATAAAGTCCTTCAGCTGGAGAATTAGTGGATTATTTGTGTTTTGACACTTCTGTTCTTAGCCTAATGATTATTTAGTATCTTTAGAGGTGCATAGTAGATAATGATCTTTAGCCACACCAGACATATTACATGAGTAGCTGAGTGTATAAATAGTTTATAGAACTCTGACTAATGGTAAAACAGTCTGGATAATGTTTTATATAAGAAAAAGAAAATCTCTCTTGTCCTCCTAGAGCTTTTCAAAAAGCAGCTTTATTGAAATTTAGCTTACATCCCATCCCCTCCACCCATTTAAAGTGGTTTGTAGTATATTCACAGATATGTGCAACCATCATCACAGGCAATTTTAGAACTGTTTCATCACCTCAAAAATTAAACTTTTACCCTTTTAGCTGTCGCCCCCAAGTACCTAAACATTCATATACAAGTTTCATATGTTTTCATTTCTCTTGAGTATATACCTGGGATTAGAATTATTGGTCTTATAGTAACTCCTATGTTTAATTATTTGAGGAACTGCCAGAATGTTTTCCAGAATGGTCCCATTTTACATTCCTACGAGTAATGTAGGGTTCTAGTTTCTCCATGTCAACACTTGTGTGACATTTTGATTCTAGCTGTCCTAGTAGGTGTAACGAGGCATCTCAGTGTGGTTTTTTTTTTTGTTTTTTTTTCCATTTCTCTGATGACTAATGATGTTGAACATCTTTTCATGTGCTTTTGGCCGTTTGTATATTTGTCTTAGAGAAATGTCTGTTTGGTGCTCAGTTAAATTTTTAGGGAATTGGGGAACACTTTGTGAAGTATATGATTGTCAAACCACTATGCTCTACAGCTGAAACTAATATGAAATAATATTGGATGTAAACTGTAACTGAAAAATAAAATTTTAATTAAAAAAATTTAAAGAATATTATTTGTCATATTAACAGCTGGTATGTTAGTACTTAAAATAAAAAAATGAACATGCTAATCATTAGGGACCTACATGGATTCACTAATAAATTACTCAAAACTAAAGTTTTATTCTTTATTTAGTTGATTTCTGAGTCAAAGGAATATAGCTGAAGCTAGTATATTTTGAGTTGAGCAAGGTGGTTTAGAGCATTTCATTAATTACCCATGTTTAAGGTAGAGGGACTTGGGCTGGATAAACTGTGGCACCCACTAGGGTTGATACATGTCCTCCTGGAGGGAGATCTTTGCTGTTTTTTGGTTTTGGCTTTGGTCTGATAAGCATTTTTACAGTGTCCTCAGTGAAAACCAGTTTAGAAATTGAGAGAAAGCCGGATTCAAAATATGTCAAAATCAGACAGATTCCAGTCCTGCTTTAAGTTAGGATGGGAAAGCAGATCTTGCTTGTTAGAGATTCATGAAGATTCATGAACAAAAAAGATCAAGGCCTTTTAGTTAACTCCAAGCTTGCTGTGTGTTAGCAGTGGCTTCTTATAAGAAGTTAGTGTTGGCAGCATTGATAGAAATCCATTTTACTGGTGTGGGGGCACAAAAAAAGTCCCTCCTATCTTTCCAAGTTCTTCTGATTAGGCTAATAATCAAATTAACATGAGGCAGATAAATAGGAGAAAATATCCAAATTTATTAATATGTACATATGGAGGTTCCATAAGAATATAAGACTGGAGGACACACTGGGAGGTTGAGGCTTATCTGCCATTTTGGACTAAGGTGAGGGAAGCAGGGATCTGGTATTTCAAAGAGAAAGCAGGCAATTTGCTGGTGGCTGAGAAAGAGCAAATGTGGTAAACAAATTCCTGCTGGGCTACCCAGAAACAATGGGGCACAGAGGGGAGTCCAGCAAACAGGCTTTGCTAGATTCCTCCCTGTCTGCCACATTTAATTTATATTATGATGCTAAAGTGATGCTTCTTTCCTTTAAACAGGTTTTTCTATCTGAATTCCTTTAGGCAGGAAAGAAGGAGGGTCAAAGGTTCTGTCTGAGTCTTTTGTTTCTTAAAAATAATAAGCTTAAAATATCCCAAAAAGTATATTTTGGGATGGCAAAACTTTGATCCCCTTCACTAGTCATAGAAGGTAACACTTGTACTGGGCCTTGATGGTCTAATGAAGAGTTAAAAGAAACATTTTTTTGGTTCCAGCTTCTCTGATGTCTTAACCTAAGCCTCAATTTTCTTATCTCTAAGGTAATGGTAATTATCTCATTTTGTCTATTTCCTGGACTTGTGAAAGTCGGATAATAAAATGAGTATGGAAATACTGAGAAAATGTAGAGCATTGTGTATGCATGATGTGGCATTCTGGATACCATATTTTAAATTGGCCACTGGTACACACCCATTTCCAGGCAGTGGGTCAAGGATGCTGAGCCAGGAATTTGGAGATGTGAAGACTAATTGAAATGATGTGGAATGGTTAGCTTGAAGATAGGTTGGGTTTCCCCAGTTTGAAGGGCATGAGAGACTAAGTATTGTTTCAGAATAGAAGTAGAAGATAAAAGTTTCAAGGAAATAGATTTCAGATCTGTGATGAGCTCTACTAGTTCAGAAGCCCTTGTGAAATGCACTGAGTAGGGAACTGATAGGAAGGATCTCCATATTGGGCATGAAGTTTACCTAGATCTCATAATGGGCAATGTTTATTGAGTGTTTTGTATGTTCTAGGCACTTCCAAAGGTTTCATATGCATTAACTCTTAATCCTCAGAACAGCCTTATGAGGTTGGAAATCATCTCCATTTTACAGTTGAAAAAACTGAGGCACAGAGGGATTAAGTAACTTACCAAGGTTATTGGGTAAGTTGCAGAGTTAAAATTGAGACCAGGACAGTCTGGGTCCAGGAGTTCACACTTCATTACCACCTGTTAAACAGATTTTAACTGGAAGTCTTTTTAAAAGAAAGGGTTTATTAAGACCATTGCTAGCAAAAAAGAAAGAAAGAAAGAAAACTGATCTTGGGGCATGAAGTGGAAACTCCCAGTAGCATGACTAGCTGGGTAGGAAAGACAGACATGTCNAGAATACCCATTAGCCAGATATATTTACTTTCTACTCTTTCTGAGACTTTCAAAGACATTCATTGGCTTGACCATACCATTTTGGTACTCAGCCTTTCTTACTGTTTTATTCGTTTGTGTCTTATCTCCCTGGTGAGTTAGGGAGAAACCTGTAAAACAAAAATTCTAACTTCCACAGCTGAAAAGTCTTTTTAAAAGAGGCTATATTAGGACATTGCTAGCAAAAGAAAAGAAGAGCAGTCTTGGGGCACAGTCTAACAGGCTAGCAGCATGGCCAAGTAGGAAAGACAACATGTCTGTTGGGAGTTTTGCAAGTGTTTTTATAGATCAAGTATGGGGGAAGAAAGATGTAAGCCATTCTGAAAGGATTTACATTAGCTGTTGACAAAGGAGGTGGAAGAGAAGGTGAATCAGGGCTAGTTCTGGGATTCCTTAAAACTGTTGTGTAAACAAGAGGCGGAGGCTCCTAGGGTTCTAAGGTGCCTGGCTCTTCTCTCCTTTTAGATAATCTCGGAAATAGCCACCTGGCAGTTAGGTTAATAATTCCAACCTACGCTAAGGAGCATGAGCAGCCTTTTGTTGGTTCTGTACTGCACTTAACTGATTGACACACACACACCCCCTTTTGTTCTCCCACCCTCTGGCCTGCTGTAATTTAATTTAGGACATCTCAAAATTTTCTCCTTGTCACCAACCAACTCTAGAAGTCTGTAAGAGTAGTAGAAAGCATTCTATTCTATTTCTGTTTTAACGTGATATTTTATATGTGTAATGGTAAGGATGAAGAAACGAATTGGAAAACCTTTTACTTAAATTGATAGAAAGTTATTGTTTTTAAAAATATTTCTTCAAATTACTGGTAAAATTTTTGAAGGACTATTTTGTAATATGGAACACCTATATTAATTCCCCTTGAACTTTACTTTGAAATGAATCAGTGATATTTGAAGTGAAAAGTGGCTGGTTTTCAAGGAAGCTTAATACATTTACCCTTTGCTTTAAAGATGATCTCGAGCTTTTTAGATCAACAAGCCATCTTGTTTGTGGACACTGCTGATCGCCTGGCCTCATTAGCTAGAGATGCTCTGGTCCACGCACGCCTACCTAGTTTTGCCATCCCATATGCCATTGATGTACTGACTACTGGGTCTTACCCACGGCTGCCAACTTGCATTAGGGTAAGTTCATTGTCCCCCATCCACCCCGTTCTTAAAAGTTGAAGGCTTTGGCATTGGACCTACTACATTATTAAGTAGACCAGCAAAAACTTTTATATTTTTAAAACAAATACTTCATGTAGTTTGTTTTTGCCTCTATAACTAAAATTGTGTTTTGTTTTTGTTTTTTAAATAAATTGGGGTCAGAATGTGAGTAGCTCTTAAAATGGGTGAATCTTTTTTTTTTTCTTCTCCATGAGGGTAAACAGATGTGCGCAGATGTAACATACCTCTATTTCAGATATGAAAATAGTGCATGCTAGTTGCTTTTGGGAAGTGTTTTTAAAAATTTATTGTGGTAGTTTTTTACTGCCTTGGTAGTTTTGTATTTTATACTTTTAAAGAAGTGGTGGATGCCATCTAATGACATTAAGTTTGTTTCATAAATAGAGCATGAAGAAGATCATGTTGCATGACTGTCTTAGCTGGGTGACTGGTGGAACCATTTGGCATTCTAATGCATGATAGTAAAGGTCACTATTATTGGATATAGACTGCAGAAATGAGTGTTGAGATTCTCTTGGGTAAAGTAAGAAAATACTGCATTAAGACAGACACATAAAAATTATGCCTCTTTCTACATTATTTTAAAATTACTTAAATTTTTTTGAAGGATAAAATTATTCCTCCAGACCCAATTACCAAAATTGAGAAACAAGCCACACTTCACCAACTGAACCAGATTCTTAGACATCGACTTGTAACCACTGATCTTCCTCCTCAGTTAGCAAATCTTACAGTTGGTATGTACCTGAAGGTTATTTTTTTTAAGAATTGACTTGTTAGAAATATATATTTTAAAGCTTTTGGGATTTTATTCAAAGAAATGTCATTATGAAGTTTTGACCTATAATTCTGGTGGTGTTTGAATCTGTAACTTGTCAGCCTTATCATTTCTCTTTATTACCTGAAAATACAGTGCTGGTATTTGGGTGAGTTCACCTGGGGTTGGAGGAGAGATAAGTCCCAGGGTTGAGCCTCAAGAAAATATTGGTCATTGATGTTAGAAGAGTTGCTTTGGTTTCTTGATGACCTGGAACCTGGCTACTGCTTATGTAGGAACCACTGAATTGTTTGAACATTTATGAAAAAACATTCTATCTATTTAAAATTTCTTATAAGCAAGACTGAAAGTTCTGGGTTAGCAAAAAGCTGCTTACTTTTTAGCAAAGTAGACTTCTTCTTCTTCTTCTAAAAGCAAATGGCCGGGTGAAGTTTCGAGTTGAAGGAGAATTTGAAGCCACCTTGACTGTAATGGGAGATGATCCTGATGTTCCATGGCGTCTTCTCAAGCTAGAAATTCTAGTAGAGGATAAGGAAACAGGAGGTAAATCATAAATAAGGATTTAAATCATAAGTATTGATTTAAATGTTTGATGTTTTTGTATCATTGAAACGTTTTGGCAGAATAATAAATGTGTTTGTCAATTTATTTATCCTGTAATTTGAAGCAGATTTTTATGATCATCAGAACTACCTACTGACCTTAGAGGCTTCAGTGTTTAAGTATGATGTTCTCTAGTTTCCATAGATAGTTTCAGTTCTTTTTTCAAAAAATTCATGATCGGTTAATATATGCTTCCTTAGTTGATACTATGACATGATCTGTATGTTTTTCTGATTAATGACTATGTTTTCTCCTGTAAATGGAAGATGGGCGAGCCTTGGTTCATAGCATGCAAATCAACTTTATCCATCAGCTGGTGCAGTCTAGGCTCTTTGCTGATGAGAAACCTCTTCAGGACATGTACAACTGCCTACGTATCCTTCTGAAATTTGAGACATGTATTTATAAGGAATTTGTGTCTTCCTCTCGCCTCCACATTTCCATCTGCCCCTAGTTTTGAACTGTAGCAGCCTAAACTCTCCCTGCCCCCTTTTTTGGGGTAGAAATAGGGCTGGGGGAACTAGTCAGTGTGAAGAATAAAGATCTATAATAAACCAAGATTTAAATTTACTGTTGACTTTGCAGGTAAAAACAAAAAATGATGAATCAGAAGTAGTACTATTTGGAGAAAGAATGGTACTATTTGATCTACCCATTTTTTCTAAACTATGACGAGTTAAGGGGCAACTTGGACCTTATAGTTTGTTTATATTGGATCAAAATTAAATATACATTTTTCTAAAATTATGCCACAAATTATACCACTTTTTAGGCTAAGTCATTGGTGAAATATAATTCCAGAAATTTCTTTCAGAACCAGCTTTTTGGGAATAGAGCTCTTGTTAAATGAAGTTTGCTTGTACTTCATTGGCTGTTGTAGTAATATGTATTATATTTGCTTAATGAGATCCATCAGATTCTTTCTGCTTATCACTTCAGTTAGAAGTGCTACATTCCCAAACTCTAATGTTAATCCGAGAGAGGTGGGGAGACCTTGTGCAGGTGGAGAGGTATCATCCTGGAAAGTGCCTCTCCCTCTCAGTTTGGAAGTAAGTAAAGTTGATTCCGGTGGGTTCCAGCTATGGCTGTAAATATTCTTTGTTCTCTTTTTCTCTCATACGTCTGATATGCTATATACTGATAGCTGTGTACCTCTAGCAATATGATTTTGTGTAGTAAGGTCCCGTGGTATCGTATAAACTACAGAGGACACCCATAATAGACAGCTCTCTTAGAATGTGGCATGTTTTAAATATGTAGACATCTATCTGTTTGTACTAAGACTTACTATTCTTAAGTTAGATTACTCTGGGCTCATACCAGATTGCTAAAAGACTTAGGTTGTTGGATATTGTTTTTAAAAAACATGCTTGCGTATCACAGTTTTACATTTTGAATTGCGCCTTTTAAAAATCTGTTTTGGGAGGGTTTTGGGGGAAATTAGTATTGAGCTGTTTACAGTCCCCGATTCCCTATTTGAACTTTGCTCGATTCCCATTTTCTGTAAGGGAATCAGAAATGAATAGACACCACTTAGAATACAGGTGGTTTTGTTTTCGGATTTTTGTTTGTTTGTTTGTTTGTGTGCATGTGTTTTATTTTTAAATTCTATGTCTGTGGGTGTTGTTGTTTTTTATGCAGTAAATCAAATATTGTGTTTGATTATAGATTAGCTGTCTTCCCAATATTAATGTATTCCCTCCACAAACAGTGAGGGCCTGCCATGTTCTAGGCTCTGGCTAAGGCCCACAATGGATTGCCTCTATTTCATTTCAAAAGTCAACAGGCTTTGTTGAAAAAAATTGTGTATTTTTTCTCTTTAGTCAACAGGTTCTTGGGAGAAAAACAGGGACAGCATCTGTTCACAAAGTTACAATTAAAATCGATGAGAATGATGGTTCTAAGCCTTTACAGATTTTTCATGATCCTCCTTTGCCAGCTTCTGATTCCAAATTAGTAGAAAGAGCCATGAAGGTAGATGATCTCGATATATTTTAATATTGGTTTAATTAAGTGAATATAATATAACTTACCATTTATACTTAAACTTTTAGTATAGATTCTTTAAACTACCTAATTGTTCCTAAAACCCTTTATGGAACTTGTTTTAAATGATTGTTATGCTTCTGCATCTGTTATTTTTAAAAATCTAATATTATTACATAAATTTAAAGATTTCTTTCATATTTTATAATTTCAGTCAGATCATCATTTCATTTTTAAGGTCTGTCATTTAATCTCTATGATAACTGATACATATAGTATTTAGTTTTATACTCACCAAAATGTTATTTATAGTCTTTAAGCTATCAGTACCACATATTTATTTTTTGAAATTTAAGTTTGCACTTAGTGTGATTCTAAAAGGCAATATCTTGAAACATGATAACCTACTCAGGCTTTAAAATAAAAATGTTTAAATTGCACATATGATTCTGTTGTTCTTGTCTATGCAGATTGATCACTTATCAATAGAAAAACTCCTGATTGACAGCGTTCATGCACGAGCTCATCAGAAGCTCCAGGAACTGAAGACCATTCTTAGAGGCTTCAATGCAAATGAAAACTGTAGGTTCCTTTAAATGGGCATTTCTATCTTTCTTTTGTTTAAATTAGTATTCACTTCTATTTCTTGAAGGGTCTGTCTTAATATGACTTCTTTCCGGATATACTGGTTTTGTTGTGGAGGCTGGACATTTTTGCCTTTTAACTTGTGATCTACCAAACTTGTCCTAACTTTCCCCTTATTTTCTTTTTATTTAGCTTGGCTTTGTTTTTGAAATGTATGCATATTAACCCACCTTAAAAATTTTTCCCATTGAAATGGAAGCTATTTTAACATGAATCTTCTTTTAGTTTTTCTTCTAAGGGTAAGGCAGCTTTGCAAATGTTTATAATATAGTTATAAAATGTGCCTCTTTGAAACAGAATTTATGCTTTGTCTTTAAAACATTTTTTTGAATTGTTAATACATTAACAAGGTTCAAAATAAGAAATACAGATATACACACAGTGAAAAATCTTCTAGTTACCTAGTAGACTCAGAGCTTTGGAGGATAGTCAATCATTTAGAAAGTAAGCACCTTCATTCTAGAAATACAGTTTCTCAGTATCATAATGTGCATATTTACTGTCCCTACCCCAGTTGTTTTTGGCCATGATTTCTTTGTGCCCACAGTGAACATCCTTTAAGTGAGATGATGTAGGTGAAGTGCTGTGTAAATATGAAGTCTTAATAGCACTAGTAGCAAAAGTACTCTTTCATCATCACAGAGCCCACCTTAGTCCATTATACTTAAAAAAGCAACTTCTTAGGTATGGACTAGTCACACTGGATTAAAATTGCTTTGATATAGTAGATAAAAACACTGCCTGAAGAAAAGACAGAAAGACAGGAAAATAAATTTGTATTTAGAATGCAGTATTTCCAAGAAAGGTGAAAAAAATAGAGGTGAAAAAGAGGATCTAAGACAAGCTAAAGACTAAGAGGAAGGGCCCGGCCGGGCGTGGCTCAGCGGTTGAGCGTCGACCTAGGATCCAGGCGATCGGGGTTCAATTCCCGGTCAGGGCACATGCCCGGGTTGTGGGCTGCAGCCGATCAATGACTCTCTCATCATTGATGTTTCTATCTCTCTCTCTCCTTCTTCCCTCTCTCTGAAATCAATAAAGATATATTTAAAAAAAAAAAAAAAAAGACTAAGAGGAAGGGCAGCTTAACTTAAAAAAGCAAGTGTGGGCCTTAAAGAGATAAAGGGTATGCCAGACATCTATCTGGTGAATGTAGTGGCTAAATCCTATTTTGAGGGGGCATGTCTAGTAACCCATCAAGGTTTAACATTAGATTTCTCAGGTCTTAATAATTTAAATTTAATTATGAGATGTAGTGGAAGCTGTGCACCCCCTCATTTTAATTCCTCAAGCAAAGGTGTTAAATATGACCTAATATTTATGATTGGAAAGCATAATTAAAACTGCCATTTCAGTTAGAAAGCCCACATGACCCCCTTTTTGTTTTTTAATTGCTTTATTGAGATATAATTCACTCATTCAGTGTTTTTTAACATATTCAAAAAGTTGTGCAGCCATCACCACAATCTAATTTTAGAACATTTTAATCATCCCCAAAAGAAACCCTGTGCCCATTAGCAATCACTCTCCCGTTCACCCTCCCACCAGCCCCCTGGCAAGCACTAATCTATTTCTGTCTATAGAATTGCCTTTTGGGACATTTCAGAGTAATATCATACACAGCAGGGCCTCAAATTACATCATATTGTTCAGTGTCGTTTTGTTGTAATATTGATGCAATGCCATAGGAACTTAATTCTTGTTTATATCAATTAGCCTATGGTAAAATTGGTTTTATTATGTGCTGTTTTGCTTAAAGTCTCGGAACCTATCAGTGACTTTAAGTGAGGACTTACTGTAATGTATGGTCTTCTGTATATTTCTGTTAGCAGAATGTTTTTGAGGTTTGTCCATATTGTAGCATGTTTCAGTACTTCATTTTTATTGTCAATTTATTGTATGGATATGCCACATTTGTTTATCCATTCATCATTGATGGGGTTAGTTTCCACTTTTTTTGCCTATGATGAATAATGCTGCTATGAACATTTGTGTACAAGTTTTTGTGTGGATCTGTTTTTATTTCTCTTGAATATATATGTACCTATGAATGGAATGACTTGGTCATATGGTAACTCTGTGTTTTACCTTTTGACATGTTTAACACCTCTTTTTTTATTCCACTAGTAGCATATGAGGGTTCCAGTTTCTCCACGTCCTCACCAACACTTGTTACTGTCTATCTTTTTGTTTCTAGCCATCCTGGTGGGTGTGAAGTGGTGTCTCATATGATTTTGACTTGCATTTCCCTAATGATTGTTAAGCATCTTTTCACTTATCTTTTTTGGAGAAATGTCTATCCAGACCCTTTGCCCATATTATAATTAGGTTAGTTATCTTTTTATTATTGAGTTATAACAGTTCTTTATGTAAGTCCCTTTTCATGTATCATGATTTGCAAGAAATTTAAAAAAATTTTTTTCATTCTATGAGTTGTCTTTTCATTTTCTAACACAAGTTTGTAACACATTTTTAATTTTGACAATGTCCAATTTGTCTGTTTTTTCTTTCGCTTTTGGTTTTGGTGTCATACCTAAAGAATCCATTACTTAACCCAAGGTCATGAAGATGTACTCTGTGTTTTCTTTAAGTTCTATAGTTTTAGCTCTTACATTCAGATTACCTTTAGTTAATGTTTGTGTGTGGTGTGAGGTAGGGGTCCAACTGCATTCTTTTGCATGGGGATATGCAGTTGTCCTAGTAACTTTGGTTAAAGTACTTTTGCAATCTTAATTTTTTCTAATTTTTCTTCTAGTTTTTCAAAATAGCAAAATTCTAAAATTTTATTGGGATTGTGGAAAATAAACGTTTGTGATCTTGTGATAGGCTCTGGTTTACTTTAGTGTCATCTGTAAACAAGATTTAGTAAAAAACTCAGTATGATTGCCCAGGGGATATTTACTTAGAAAAATATACTCTAGGCATGTGTTTACGTAGGAAGTTTTGTGTGCTAATCAAATAAGTTGCAGGGATTTTTTTCTTTAGCAGCATTTTGTAGAGATGTCACTATTTTAGTTAGTAGCTAGAAGATCTGAGTTCAGCTGCGTGCTCTTGAATAATCACACTCTTTGGGCCCCATTCTCCTCATCTGTAATTAGAGGATGTGCAGGCTCTTCCTAGATCTCTAACTCTAGTGGAAGTGTGTTACTGCTGTGGTTTTCAAGCCCTAGGTGTTTGTAGAGTCCTCAGTGTTAGGGACTGGTGTTTGGGAAACTAAGTTTTAGAGGGAAGGAAGGTGCTGGCATATGGAGTTGGGTCTCTCAGTCCTGCTTTAATCAGAACAGTTCTGGAAATGAGGACTGCTATAAGAAAGGGTCTACTGACCCACCATTTTAGGACATAAGCTTTAACTTGTTTTTTAAATTCATGTTCATGCATTTATACTCCTTATGTAGTCTTACTTGATCCCTTTTGTGATGGGAAAGCATGCTTTAGTCAGATCCTTTACTGGGACCAGGGGCTGTTCTTGGAATCCCTTAATGCAGTCACCCTTTATCACCTGGCTTTTCTTCCAACTCCTCAATGGAATAAGCTGAGGACATGGAAAATGGAGCATTTTAAGGGATGGCTAGGAGAATGCACAGACAGCAGGCTTTGTGTAGCCCAGGTGGCAGTATGTGGTTTCTTTAAGGGTAGGAAGTGGAGTTGGGCAAAGGCTCGGGGGAAAGTAGGCAAGACTTCAGAGAGAAGTTCAAAAAAAGGCAGTGCAAGGCACTGCAGGTGACTTGCCATGTGGCCCGTTCGCAGCATTGCCTGACTCTTGAAAGCTTGGGGGCTCTGTCAGCACTGGAATTGGGGTATCAAGGTCAGTTCAGAAGCTGTGAACCACACACAGCCATTCCTAATCATGCCTCGTTGCTTGTCTTCAGTTTTCATACTTTATGTTATTGTCTAATTGGTGCATTTCTCATGTTGTCCTCAATAAATACATAGGGAGAAACAAAAGAGGAAATATGTATATATATTCCTGCTGCAGGAAAAAGTAGTATATAGTCCTGTCATTTTGCACAGCCTTTAATTCTCCCTTCTATATTTTATTCACAAGTTTCTCCAGTTTTGGATACCTTAACACCTGCTGCTATTAAATGCTTAGGGCCTTATATATCTTATTTTATGGACATTGGTGGTCATAAAATAATGTTCAGAGATACACATCAAAATATTTTCTGTCTTTTGGACTGTGTTGCGTATTCTACTTTGACGCCCTATCTTTTCAAGAATACTCAATTTTATAATTAGATTGAAATCATAATTGTTATCCCACTTGTCAGAACTAGTTTTACTCCAGTGCTACACTTTAAAAATGTTTTTGCTTTAAGGAATACATCTCTACCCCATTAGGAATTATAACAGTACAGATAAGTTTTTAAAATCAGCAACCCTGCTTCAAATCTGTAAGTACTTTTTATTATATTAACATAGTCATTTCAGCAAAACATGAACTAATTTTTCACACTGCTCTGAATTACAAAATGTTGTAAAAGAAATTCCTGTTTGTCCCTTTTGTTCTGTTCTTTGTTGTTTTTTTTTTGGTTTGCTTTTAGGTGAGAGTTCTGCTGGATCTGCATGTTAAACATTTGTCTACAGATACATGTATCAGATATACTTGAAAGCAGTTTGTTTTCATCTGACTAAATATGTCTCCTTCAATTTTTTTGCTTTATTAATTTGTTTGATTTGTCTCTTTGATTCATAAAGGAGTAAAAGATAACACACATTGTTGAGCACTTGGCTTTTTAAATCACCTTTACAGACTTGTCACTTTCTCCTAAGGGCCCATGGCATGCACAGCAAGATGTTATTGTCCTTGTTAAAAAATAGCACAGACAGGTCACACCTGGCGAAAGGCTGGGCCTACATCACCGCTCTCCTTACTGCCTGCCTTTCTTCTGTGTTGTAGCTTTAGAAGGATGTGGTGACCAAAAGAGCATATATTCCTTATACAGCTCTTCAATCTGATCAGCACTTGGTGCGCTTTCAATGCTTTGCTCCTTTACTTTGTTATGCCAACTTGGGGTATTAAGGGAAAAGTTAATTGGGCCTGGTGGAAATACTGTGAAACTCTAGAACAAGTATATTGGCAGCTTTGGGAATTTGTGTATAGTAGTTGCCTATGTTCTTATTTTATCTGTAACTTGAAAATGTAGTACATAAATAATGAAAAACGTTTTCCTGTATAGTCAATAATGTTCACTAGTCCTCAAGTGTTTTTTTCACACACTTGGGTCCTAATTGCCAGAAAACCTTGCTTTATGAAGAGTGGCATTGAGAATATTTAGGCCACAGATGAAACTTCTTTGGTTTACCAAACAACTGATTCTTTTCCCACTATATCAAAAAGAAAATCCTTAAAAGTTAACTTATTGGTAATTACTGAGTGAAAGTAAAATTAGAACCCAGCTCTCCAATGAGGCTAAATTTTCACTAGCTATTCTAACAGTGGTTTTTTGTTTTTTAAATATATCTTTATTGATTTCAGAGAGAGGAAGGGAGAGGGAGAGAGAGAAACATCAATGATGAGTCGTTGATTGGCTGCCTCCTGCACGCCCCCTACTGGGGGTTGAGCCCACAACCTGGGCATGTGCCCTGACTGGGAATCAAACCTCAGTTTTCTGGATCCTAGGTCAATGCTCAACCGCTGAGCCACACCCGGCCGGACTCTAATGGTTTTTAAGGCATCTTGGAACTTTTTTGCCATAGTGTCTGAGACGGGCATGTTTGTTTGCAGTCGCCTTGAGGATTGCATTCTTCCTTTTGAGCTCCTAATTGACTTACTATATTCCAGTTTTGCAAAAATCGTGTTTTTCTTCTAATGGTCAGGATTGTTCAATAGTTGATTTGTTTTAGTCACTGAGGAATACTTTTTTTGAGAAATACTCAGATAGAAATATAATTCTTAATTCTTAACTGTTCAGCTTCCATAGAGACTGCACTTCCAGCTCTTGTTGTTCCCATCTTGGAGCCCTGTGGTAATTCGGAGTGTCTGCACATTTTTGTAGATTTGCATTCTGGAATGTTCCAATTGATGCTTTATGGACTTGGTAAGTTACTAAATGGTATGGTCATTCAGTATAAGGAAAAATATTTTTAACAAAAGCAAAATTTAAATTGTCTGCCATTAGGTATTAAGAAGACTGGCATAAGCAGTGTGGAGAGTAGATTTGGAAGGAGTAACTTGCTGACATCTGTTCCTGGGGGCCTATTTTAACTCTACTTTGGATTTTCTAGTACAAGAACTTAAACTTCCCAGTATGAAATACATTCATGTTGCTTCTCTTAAGTAAAAGTAATAACGTTGATGGCTGGTGTTTTTTAGATAAACAATTTTACCACTAATAGTTGGATGACATGGAGATGGCTACAAGGGAATCTCATGTCATTCATGGCTAAAGAACATATTTAATGACCATATAAACATGTAAGATAACTTAGGGTACAGAATCCTAGAGGAAAAGATTTTTTTCTGGCTTAAATACAGTAGAAATGGAAGTTTGGTTTCTTACATGTTCTGTTACTGAGTTGACGTTCTGAAATGGTGAAATACTAGGAACTTAGTGTTTCGTATTGCTAATGGAACATTGTTCTTGAATATATTAGCACATTTGCCATTTGAAATTAATATTAAGCTAGATAGATTGATGAAAATAAAAGGTTATCTAGTTATATTGTATGGCTATAAAGATAGATTTTTCTATGAACTGCTCGTGGAGTACTGGCCGCATTACTTTGAATCACGTCACATTTATGATGGCTAAATGAGCGACCCATTTATGAGTTACCTTTTAACTATGCTTCCAGACCAACCAGGCAATTGTTTGTTTGTAAAAACTTTTTATTTAACTGTTTTCTTGATTATTCACACAGTACATACTCATAAATAAAAACGTAAACATGTAAAAATGAGAGAAGAAGCAAAAAATAGTTACTCTTGGTAATCATTGTTATTTTAGGGTATGTATACTTATCTTAGTCATCTCAGGCTGCCATAACAAAGAACCACGGTGGGTGCCTTAAACAACAGAAATTTATTTTCACATAGTTCTGGAGGTTGGAAGTCTGAAAGCAAGTTGCCAGCATGGTTGAGTTATAGTCAGGACTCTCTTCCTGGCTTGTACACTTTGGCATTCTCACTGTGTCCTCACATGGCAGGAAGAGGGAGAGAGCAAACTCTCTGGCCTTTCTTATAAGGGCACTAATCCCATCATGAGGCCCCCAACCTCACTGCCTTATCTAAACCTAATTATTTCCTGAAGGCCCTACCTCTTAAATACAGTCACATTAGGAGTTCGGGCTTCCATATGTGAATTGGGGAGGGGGCAGAGAGAGGAATACAATTCAGTCCATGGCAGTGCTTTTTAAATTTTTTTTCTTTAGTTGAAATCATTTTATATTTTGCTTTTAGCTCAACGTTCTATTATTAGCATTATCTAGTGTCATTAAAAACTCTAAGTGACATTTAGCATGCTAATCTTCAGCCAGCCGCTCTTGCTTATGCTAGAGACCGTTTGTGTTTAATAAGTATTATAATGGAATTTTATAATTTTTATAATTTTTAAAGTTCCAAGTCTAGTAATACTATGAACTTTAAATACATTATAAGTTAAAAATATCAATTGACTAGACTAAGAGTTTTGGGAATTAAAATATAGGCAAAGAATTAATTCATGTATTTGTTATTTATTCTTCCTGCAAGTATACATTTGCTATTAATTAGTTGTCTTAACTATAACTCTTCCTGAATATTAAGAGGGAAAACAAATTAGGTTAATTTATGCCTAATGCATTTAGTTAGTTGTTTATTTTAACTCAAAAATAACACTACTTTTTGCCTAAAACAATAATTTCACTTAAGTTTTGGGCTACCTAGATATTTTGTGTCTTGTGTAAGCAATTAATTAATAAAGTGCTTTATTTTATAGACCAGGCCACTTTGGATGACATGGAGAAGTCTGTGAATGATGATGTGAAACGGATTATTCCTTGGATTCAACAACTTAAGTAAGCTTATTTATTTAGCTCAAGACTAAAAATGGAAACTTATTTTGACAAGATATATTTTCTCCATCATTACTCTTGATCCGTCCTTAATGTTTATGACTTGAAACTTGAGCACCTTTTGGTACTTAGAATCTAAATTCTCTTGGAATAGGTCCAAGATGGCAGTGCTTCGTATCAAATTCCCCTCTAGAGCAAATACAGGTATGAAGGGCATGACACTGAACTTTCATTCCTTGCCACATTTTCACTTGTACAAGTACTCTACACAATAAATTTTATTGTATCTAGTGTTCTCTGCAGTAGTGTCTTACTTGTTCTTATCCAGGATAATCTTCATGGTGTGAATCTACCAGCTGACACTTTCAAAATAATCATTTCTGCTTCTCTAATACTGTCATTCAATTTGTTTCAAAATCGTGTGAATGCTTCATACTGTGAAACTAAATGAAATTGAAAATGAAGCTAGAGATGATTCTGTGAGGTTTCATTACCACTCTAGTACACAAAAGTACCATTATAGCAACTCTAACAAACTTTCTTAAAATTAATAAAATAAAATTCCAAGAGACAAAAATAAATTTTAGAGATCAAAACTAAAGCTGGCAAATGGAGAAGGGGTAGGACCTATTGATTTTGTGATCTTCTAGCCTACTCTTCCTCCCTTTGCAAGTTTTAGTTTGTAAATATTTGAAAATTTTTATATCAAGTCATTTTTTTCCATTAACAAGACATTCTTTTAAATGCCAATAGATAGGTAATATTATGTAAGCCTTTTTTT